TACCTCTCTCAAAAACTGACCTGGAGGGTGACTGAGGAAGACATCTGACCTCAGTCTTCACCCAACACACGCAGGAATGTGCACACACGGAGGGATCAGTGATGTCACATTAGGATCATGTGCCTCAAGCCATGCTACAATGAGAAGGCATCTTCTCTTTGTGGCACTCTTGATAAAACCATCCTGCTTCAGTCTAACCATGAGGTAACATCAGAAAAGCTCAAATTGAGGGAAAGTATACAAATACCAGTACCCTTCAAAAATGTCAAGCCAGCTACATGGTTCAGCGAAAAAAGGTACCTGTCACCAAACCTGATGATCTGGGACCCCTATGTTAAAGAGAAAAAACCGGCTCCTACAAGTTGTCTTCCTCCATACACATAACAAATAAATGTAATTTTAAAGAAATTTTTAAAATCAGAGTAATACAAGACAAAGTAAGCTGAGAAAGTATCACAGGTTAGAGGAAACTAAGGACATGAGCAAAAAATCTTGGATTGCATCCTGGAACAGAAAAAGAAAGTTAGAGGGGTGACTGGATTCCAAATAAAAGTTAGAAGTATAGTTAATAGCTTTGCATTTATAGTCCCTGAGCTGAGGGTGGGAGACAGCGCAATCACTAATTTTCTTGCTGCTCAGACAAAGGGACCTGAGTTCAGTCGTCAGTGCCCACGTAAGAGTCATGCATGACATCAATCTCCAAGCACATGTGCAAACACACACACACACACACACACACACACACACACACTTAAACACAGACACATGGCTGCAGGGGAGGATGGAAGGCAACTCTTCTGTTAATGTGGGGGTTTTAGTTTGGTTTTTGTTTTTCAAAAAAAACAGTAAAACAAAGAGCTCAGCTTCTAGAAAGTCTGAACAGAGGGGACAAAACCTTGCAAGGGCTAAAGCCCAGAGGGTGTTACAAAATTGGCGTTGTGTTGGACCCAAGCTTTATGGTTCCTAATCTTCAGTGTCTTTCATTCATAAGCACTAATGTTCTCTGAGCCTCAAATACCATGTCTTAAAGTAGGGTTGCCAAGGATGTCATTCCAGCAAATAGAAACTGGAAAACTAGATATCTATATGCAAAACAATTAAATCATGAATTTTTGCCTGATGTCATAAAAAAACTAGCTTAAATGGGTTTCAGGTCTAAATGTAAAATGCAAAACAGTAGGAACTTTAGCAGAAAACAGAAGAGAATGGCCTCCTCCTGGCATCATATTTGGCAATGATTTTTTTAAAAAAAAGATTTATTTGTTTAAATAATTTCATCTATCTGTATGTGTGTCTGTATGTATGTATTTACAGCACATGTATTCAGGTCACAGAAGAGGCCAAATAACTCATCTGATGCCCTAGAAATGGAGTAGGAACTGAACCCAGGTCAGGTAGAAAAACAGCAAGTACTCTTAACTGTTGAGTCATCTCTCCAGCCCCTTGTCAATAATTTCTTGGCACCAAAAGTACATTCTGGAAAAGAAAAAAAGATAAATCAGACTTCTTCTAACCTGAAACTGTTGGAGCTGAAATGCAACTCTGAGAATCTACAAGGTCCTGGGTTTAATCACCAGTACTAACAAAGATAGATGATAGATAGATAGATAGATAGATAGATAGATAGATAGATAGACAGACAGACAGATAGACAGATAGATCATTTGTGCATCAACACTGTTATGTTTCAGCATTGGAAAAGCAAGGTATTTATAGTTTCTACAATGTACCTATGCCAGGGCAGTGTCAGGGTAGGTTGTGGAGAGAAAAGAAAAGCCATATGTGAGATGTAAAGATTATTGAAACTTTATATGAATTGTGACTGAACAGAGCAGGAAGGCAGCATCCTGTGACAATGGGCCAGATAGAAAACTAGCTCCAGAGTTCCAGTAGGCTCTATGAACTGCAAAGGTGCTGTGGTGGACAGCTAGACCCAGGGAACACTCACAGTCTGATGACAGTGAGCCAGCCTTATCTTCATAGTGTCTTGCTCCACCCTGCTCACTACAGGGACAAGAGTTTGTAAGTTAGGCTACTCACACAGTGACATCACTAGCTCAATATGCCATGGTCAGCATAGCTGACTTAGTATACATGCAGGAAGAATGTTCTCTTCTAGATAACACCAGTTTGCCCCAACCCATTGCTCATGAAAGGGAGTCAGTGATCCTCCAGACAGGCCTTATTGAAATGCCCTAGTCTCTCCATGTCTTATTTCATTGTTTCCTTGATTTGATGGGAGTCTTGGGAATGCAATGATGTTTTAGAGGCATGCTGATGTGCTCCTTTCCTCCAGGATGATACAGCACTGAACGGGCAACAATATCTTCAAGTTACTTGTCTGCATATACTGAATGCCTACAGCGCTTAGGACATAACTCAGTGGGTAGAGTAATTGCCTGGTATACCGGAAGCCCTGGGTTCAGTCCCCAGCACTGTGTAAACTGCATGGTGACATGAGCTTTTAATCCAAGCACTCAGAAGATGGATTCCAGAGGACTAGAGTCATACGTAGCTATATAATGAACTGGAGATTGTCTTGAACGACATGAATCCTTGACAAAGAAGAGGAGAAAGAGCCCTGCAACTCAACAAACAGACATAAAAGGCATGAACAGAAGGCCAACAAAACAGCTCTGTGGGTAAAGTCACTTGCAAGCCTCGTGGCCTGAGTCTGATCACCAAGGCTCACATTGTGAACAGTGTGAATCTATCCTGAAAACTGTCTTCTCACCTCCACACATGCACACACACACACACATATACACAAAATAAAAAAAATAAATGCAGTTTAATTTTTTTTTAAAGACAGGGCTTTTTCTGTGGAGCCCTAGCTGTCCTGGAACTCAAGACCAGGCTGGCCTTGAACTCACAGAGACCCACCTGCCTCTGCCTCCTGAGTGCTGGGATTAAAGGTGTGCTCCACCATCACCTGGCTAATAAAACTTTTTAAGGAATTGTCCACAAGATTCAAATGGTCAATAAGCTCATTTAAAAAAAGGTGCTCAATGTTTTCAACCAACAGGGAAATGCAAATAGAAACTACAATGAGATATTACACACTTGAAGGTGACTGTCATTTAAAACAGGAAAGCGGAAAGGGTGTTGGTGAAGAAGTGCAGAGTCTGATCGTTGCATGTAAGCGTGGGCAGCATAGCAGGTCCTTCTCTCATCTCCCGACTTAGCTGTTTTTAGTTGACTGGCCTCAAAGCCACTTCATGAGCCACGCACCCTTGTCTGTTCCTGCTTTCTCCTCTTATGAATAAGCCACTATGAACGTAAGTGTTCACACATAGGGTGAAATGCTACCTGACTTCTGAAAGGAAAGAAATGCCGACATGCTGAGTCTTGAAGACATTAGGCCAAGTGAAACAAGCCAGTCAGAAAAAAGGACAAATAGGAGTTTAATATGATCAAATCCATACAAACTGGTAACAGAATGCTGGTTGTGGGGGAGGGGCTGAAAAGGAAGGAAATGTAGGGTCGTTTTGTTTGTTTGTTTGTTTGTTTGTTTGATTGGTTGGTTGGTTGGTTGGTTGAGTTTATTGAGTCGGGGTTTCACTAACACAGCCCAAGAACTCACTAAGTGGCTGGCCCAGACTGTTTCCCTTCTAGAACTCCCAAGTACTGTAATTACAGATGTTAGCCACGGTGCAGGGTGGGAGTCACTGTTTAAGGACTTTAGAGTACCATCTTGGGAATATGAAGAAGTTCTGGGAAGTGAATGGTGGTAAATATCCTTAATGCCACTAAAGTGTATGCTTAGGATGGTGAGTGATAATGTATATCTAATATATATATAAATATATATATACATATATATATTTATATGATGTATATTTTACTGCAACTGAAAACAACTTTGTTGTGAGATAGTGCAGCCCAGACTGTTCATGTACTCACAGCTCTCCTGACTCAACCTCCGGAGGGCTAGGGTTACAGGCATGCTCCAGTGTAAAAGTGTGTGTTTGTCTGTGTGTGTGCACGCGTTCACCTATGTAAAACAAGACTGGCCTGGTGCATTCTGGAGATGTGTGGGGATTAGGTATCTTCTATATAACGTGCAGAACATTCAGGAACCAAACTAATTCTCTTTCATTTCCCAAAACTGCTAGCTTATTGAATATACTTCATTCAAAAGCAGGAGTTAATCCGTTAGACGGGAAAATCGTGCAGCGATTTACATTTGATGATGCCAATTTGTTAATAACAAATATGGATTCCCACTATTACTGCTAAAAAAAAGCTTTGCTTTGACACACACGCCCGCCCGCACACCAGTACTCAAAAATCTCAAAAATTAGGAAAGAAGGCTGGGAAAACTCGGGCATCAGTTCCCCGCAAAGGGGTCAGGGGTTTATCCCCTAGGATCCACGTTAGCTTTCAGAGCTGGTCACGCGCCGCGCCGCCGGGGTTTTATCGCTAAGGTTCTCACCGAGGATAAATGAAAAGCTGCAACCCAAAGATTGCTTGACTGCTGAGATTCCAGATCTGAGCAACGTGGAGCAGTGGCCTCCTCAAACCTACATAGTGTCTCGGCCCTCGCAGTGTCTTGGTGCCATCTTGGCAACCGCAGAGCGCTCCTCCCAGGTAGGCTCCGGACTCCTCTCTCTCCTACTCCATCTCCTTTTTCGGCAACGAGCCACAGTGCAACACAAGTGCCCGCAAGAGGTGAGGATCGGCAAGGCGGCTCCTGTAGCTGCTACTGCCGCCGGGGACTGCGGCACCCTGGCTCTCCGAGGTGCCCGCTCACCGCGCGAACAACCTCTTCTCTGTTTCTGCTGGCTGAGTGTGCCAGGCCCCCCGCTCCCGGGTGCCTGGGTGCCAGGGTCGGATCGGGTGACTCCGACGTGCGCCTGCTAGCGGGAGGACCTGGGGCTGGAGGAGGCGTGTCTGGCCCCGCCCCTCCCTATTCCACCCTGCAGCCTCTCGGAGGCTAGGGTGGCCGGCGCTCGCCCGGCTCCGGGCCAGTCCACCCGCTCAACGCGCTCTAGCCAGCCATGTGTCCCACGGCCGCTCCCGCACCCAGGTGGCTGCTCCTCGCGCTGTGCGCGCTGCTGTCACTGTGGCCGGCAGCCAGAGCCTGGGAGCTCACGATCCTGCACACCAACGATGTGCACAGCCGGCTGGAGCAGACCAGTGAGGACTCCACCAAGTGCCTCAACGCTAGCCAGTGCGTCGGCGGCGTGGCAAGGCTCTACACCAAGGTGCAACAGATCCGCAGGGAGGAACCCAACGTGCTACTGCTGGATGCCGGCGACCAGTACCAGGGCACCATCTGGTTCACCGTTTACAAAGGTCTCGAAGTGGCACACTTCATGAATACCCTGCGCTACGATGCCATGGTAAGGAGAAGGGTCTCGGGGTTGGAGACCAGAGTGAGGGGCTGGAGAACTTCCTAGTAGCCTGGCACAGAAACACTCAGAGATGAGCAAGTGGAACTCGACTCAGGCTAGTGTGCAGTGTCGATGCAGAAGGTGTCCCTTGGATGATTGTCTTAAACTGATGTTTTTGGGGACCCACAGTGAACTGAGCTTTAAAAGAGGAATCCTGCCTACGGGAAGTTTGAGCGTGGGTACATAGGAACACTGGAGACCTATCTCTGGCTCCTCCACGTCTCCTATCTTTTCAGTCATTCAAAGAAATGCCTCATCGCTTCTTTACTGAAAGGAAAATAGGATCAAAAAATTTATTCAGGTCACCAGCCCCCAAGGGGAGGGGGAGCAAATGGACACCCTATCCGGCTGGCCCTGAAGTTTGAGCACCACAAACTCACCTCCTTAGGTAGATTTCCAGTGCCCCTACTGTTCTGAGACATTACAAAAGTTATTTGTTAGACCTCGGTGGCTGAATCTTCTATAAAATGGAAAGAATAGTTACCTCAAAGCATTATGTGCATATAATATGATCTCCATAGCTGTTACTTCTTGCTACTCCCAGGAACTGGTACATGGGTTCGAGGAAAAAGAAATGTCAAAGAAAACACAAATGCGGGAAAGGTGGGATTTCAGGGATTCAATAAAACCTGCTTGACTGTAGAGATTCTAGAAGAGCCCAGCTTGAGGGATAAGGGAGCTGGGGGTGCAGCTGGATTTTTAGAGTGTTTGCTTAGAATTCCATAGGCCCTGGATTGATCCATAGCACTGCACAAACTAGGTATGTGGGGCACGCCTAGTGGAGGCCAGAGGATCAGGAGTTCAAGGTCATCCTTGGCTACATAGAGAGGCCAGCCTAGGGAACAAGAGATCTGTCTCAAAAGGAAGGAGGAAAGGAGAGAAAGAGAGAAGGGAGAGAGAGAGAGAGAGAGAGAGAGAGAGAGAGAGAGAGAGAGAGAGATCTTAAAATGTGAAAGTTTAATCCTCACTTCCCAACACTGTTGGAAGTGAGCATTGCTTATTGAGAAAGGGCAAAGAACAATCAAATAAACATAACTGAGATGTAGAAATTAAGCAATCCACCACTCAGGGTCAACCTCTGTGAATCCCTGAAGTAAACAATTCTGTCAGGTTATAGGGGGAAAATTGAGAGCAATTACAACAAAAATGGGAGAGCTTTGCAAGAGAAATAGCAGGGCGGGTTCCCAGAGCTCTGTGACACCAGAGGGTGTGTAAGGGAAAGGTCTATCCTCAGGGTACAAGAACAGCTCAGAGGTCAGAGAAGCGGAGGGGCCCCTCCCGGCAGAATGCTGGCTTAGAGGTTCTAAAGCAAGGGAGGTTCTAATGGCCTCTAAACCTCCAGAGTTGGTGGAGGAAGGCCGAGCCCAGCAGCAGGTTGGCAGAAAAAGAATCGCCAAGTCTCAAGAGCTCTTTGGTCTCTCAGCCCTCTTTTTCCACAGCTAGGCTTGCTTGAAGCTTTGTAAGCCGAATGACAGTACAAACATTTACATAATTGGATTGTTAACCAGCTCTACTTCCCCCAGAAGGATAGGATAAACATTGTATGAGTTTGTTTTGATTTCATGTATAAACCACAACTTTACAGCATTTCCTTTTTCTAACACTCCTTTCTCCACAGTTGTGTAAATATTCCTTAGTAAAAATATGTCCCTCTTTAAGGCAGGATGAGCTCACCAAGCACCTAGATGAGGCCACAACAGTGTGCTGCAAGTTAGAGCTAATCATCCTTAAATATTTAGAAGACTTTTTCGGGGCAGAATTGCTTTCTTACAAATTTCCCTCAAAATAATTGTATTGGGACCTGAGGAAAAATAAGCTACGCTGACCAGTGTTGAGTGGGAGGAAAGGGAATGACAAAGTCCATAGCTTTCCATGGCTGCCATCAGAATTTATCCTTGGGGCGAGTTGTGGGTGGGTTTTAACACATGTGATTTGACCTGTGCAAACTCCAGCTATTGTAACATGCAGCATGTGGCTCAGCTCTGCAGTCTTCCTATCTTACAGCAGATATACACTGTCATTTTGCTTATATTATACCAAGCCTTGGGAATTTATTGCTCTTCTGTTATAAAATTCCCCTATCTTAGCCACCTGCTATGTCTTGATTCTGGGATGCTTGGAGAACCCAGATCAGAGTGAACAGCTGTAGAGGAGATGGTTTGTATTCTCTTGACCTGCCACACTCCCAAGAGAACTCCTCTGATGGCTACAGAGGAGCAGGATGAGCCTGAAGACCCCCTTGGGCCTTGCTGCTAGGCAGACTCCTGGAGAGGTTGACAGAAGTGGCCAGGTGGTGCAGCTGGCTATCCTATTGGAAGGACTAGTGTCCCCTGAGGTATGAGAAGGAAGACACAGCAAGCTATTGCATAAAATAGCTGGGAGGTCAGGAAAGCACAGTACTGATTTTTCTTCTTCTTCTGTAGAAACTAGGAGAAAGGAAGTCAGGAAAAAAAAAAAAACACAAGGATGCTCAGTTGCTTGGGGATTTTCTTCTTTTCTTCCTTTTAGACTGGCTATTTCTGAGCCTCATGTTCCCTAACTGGGAAAGAGGGGTGGGAACCCCCAGCCTGTAAGCAGCACATGGTACAATGAGAAACCCCTCACCCAGTGAGCACTCACTACAGCTTAGTTTCCTACCCAATGGGGTTTGGGAGGAAGAGAACATGGCATCTGCCAGTTTATGCGAGTCTGACGGCCTAGCACAGACGACCACCAGCCTCTCCTCCCTCGTCTTTTCTAAGCACTAGTGTCTAGACTGTTCCTTTTGGAATATTTTTCTTTTTAAGGTCTCACATAGCCTAAACTGGCCTCTAACTTGAACTTGCAATGTGGTAGAGGATGACCTTGAACCTCTGACCCTCCTGCCTGACCTCCCAAATGCTGCTTCTGCGTTCCTGTCCTAGCTACTTTTCTATTGGTGTGACCGAGGCAACTCATTAGAGAAAGCATTTAATTAGACTTATGGTTTCAGAGGGTTAGAGTCAATGATGGCAGAGCCAAGACATGGTATCAGGAACAACTGAGAGCTCACATCTCCATCCACAAGGAGGGGATAGACAGAGAGGGGCACACTAAGAATGGTGTGTCTTTTTTGAAGCCTCAAAACCCTTCCCTGTGACACACCTCCTCCAAGAAGGTCGCACGTCCTAACCCTTCCCAAACAATTCCACCAGCTGGAGACCATGTGTGCAAACATAAGAGCCAGTGGACACCATTCTCATTCAAACCACCACAGTAATCTTGTTTTTATGATTTTCCCACCTCACTCTATATGTGCCATGCCCCTGTGTATCGTGGTACATCATGACCTCTTCACACATCAGTCTCTGGTAGATTTGGAAATGGTCTCTAGCCAATTCCCTGCCTCACAAACTCAGTTGTTCCAGATATCTTCTGCAGGTTCCACTGTGAGGATTTCCATACGCCAGTGCCAAGTTGCTGGTCAGAATGTGTGTGCTTGCTTGGTTCTTTCTTTGGCAAAGGATTGCCAGCTGCCTTCCTGAAGGATTAATCCCTACTATTTTGCTCCCTCCAGGTGAAGGATTAATCTCTGTATCTTTATTTCTTCTGCCTCTATTCTAGTTCTTCTGTCCTGTACTAACTGTCTATAACCTCTTGGCTCTAATTCTCTGCCCAATTCTGTTTCCTCCTCCTCCTCCTCCTCCTCCTCCTCCTCTTCCTCCTCCTTCTTCTCCTTCCCCTTCCCCTGCTTCTTTCTTCTTTCTTCTTTTTTTCTTTCTTCTCCTTCTTCTTAAAAGGTATTTTTATGTGTGTGTGTGTGTGTGTGTGTGTGTGTGTGTGTGTGCAGTCATGTGTGTTGGTGCCTGTGGAGGCCAGAGGGGGCATCGGATCCTCCAGAGAGATGGAGTTACTGGAATTTATTAGCCATTTGATGTGGGTGCTGGGTGCCAAATTCCTGTGCTCTTAACCACTGAGCCATCTCCTTAAGACCCATCTTTGCCTATTCTTACCTCTATCCAGCTTGTCAGTAGCTTGTATTTTTCTAATAATTAGGTAGTTTCAGCATCTTTTGATAGGATTGTGAATCTTTTGGGTTTCCTCTTCTCCAATGGCAAGTTTATGGATTTTTCATTTCCTTTCCATTGGATTTGCTTTGTTTTGGAACACTCTAACCATGGACCAATGATCAATTTTAGACATAAATTTGATGATGCTACTATGTTGTTCAACTCTTTACTTCTTAAAACAGAAATCCTTTATTAGGTATATTTAATAACTAAAATTTCGTATTTGTTTGTCTGTTTGGCGTGCATCTGTGTTCTTGAGAGTTTATGTAACAGTTTGCTAATTTCAAGGTCGAATCACCAAGACTCCCACTGGAAATGCAATTGCTGCTGCCTTCCCTGCCTTCTGAGACAGCAGCCTGTGAGAACTGACTGTCATTTCCCTCTCCAGCCAACAGTTTAATAAGCACATCCTCGAGGGTCATCCTTAAAAATAGGAATTCCTGAAGAATTTAATAGGTGCTTCTGTTCAGTGCAGGGAGTAGGTGTAAAGGCCTGGACCAAAGTGAAACTGAGACCAGACTCTGAGACCAAAGTTTATAGACCTCTGAGATGCACTCCTTTGTCATGGAGATCAGATTCCCTTGCAGCTTCCTGTAGAAGGTGACTGTGGTCCCTGCTGCTTAAACTAGATCTTCCAAGTGTCAGGAAGTGTCCTTTGTTATACATACTGAGCATCTTTGAGGCTAATGGTTTCAGCTAATGAGTTTTCTTTGAACTGACACTCTAGATAGCCTCAGGGTGGAACCCAGTGCTGAGAAGTACCTGATGCTTAGATCACTGGGTTAGAGAGTTGAAATTCCTAACCTCATCCACCCACCTGCAGGGGCGTGTGACTGGAGATTAAGCTCTGTCAGGCTCTTTCCTAAACACTGAATTTGATGAGCTCTGGAGTTGCTGAGCACCTGGAGGTTCTGGAGGGTG